TAAAAAAATAGATTTATTGAGCTGTTGACATACAATAAACTGCACATATTTAAGGTGTACAATTTGATAAGTTTTGATATATATTTATGTATATGTGTGTGTGTATGTATGTGTATATATATATATATATATGAAGAAATAACTTCATGGAACTATCATGGTACCATATATCATATTCATGAAATTAAGATAGTGAACATATCCACATTGACCAATATTTTTCTTTTCTCATAATATCTTTGTCCTATTTTGGTATCAGGATAATGTTAGTCTCATAAAATATGTTGGGAAATATTTTCCACTCTTCAATTTTCTGAAAGAGTCTGCGTAGAATTGGTATTAATTTTCTTTAAATATTTGGTAGAATTCATCAGTTTAGCTATGTGAGCCTAAAGTTTTCTTATGGGAAGATTTTTGTAAACTATCAGTTCAAATTCTTTAATAGAGATAGGGTTATTTATGTTATCTGTTTCTCCTTGAGTGAGCTTTGTTTGATATTTAGTGTTTTTCAAGGAATTTTCCCATCTCATCTAAATTGTCAAATTGGTTGGCATAAAGTTATTCATAATATTCTTTTCTTAGCTTTTTAATGCCTGTAGAACCGGTAATGGTGGCACCTCTTACATTCCTGATATTGTAATTTGTGTCTTCTCTCTTTACGAAGCTTTTTAAAGAACCAGCTTTTGGTTTTGTTGATTTTTCTGTCTCCTATTTCAATTATTTCTTCTCCAGTCTTATTTCTTTTCTTTGCTTTACTCTGGATTTAATTTGCACTGCTTTTTCTAGTTTCTTAAGGCAGAGTCTGAGGTCATTGATTTGAGACCTTTCTTATTTCCTAATATATGTAATTAAATACATATAAACATAAATTTTTCTTGAGTACTGCTTTAGCAGTATCCAACAAAATTTGATATATGATATATACAATTATTTTCATTTAGTTAACTTCCCCTTTCACTTTTTCCTTTGACCCATGAGTTACTTAGAAGTGTGTTATTTTATTACCAAATATGTGGAATTTTCCACATTATTGGTTTCTAATGTAACTCCATTGTGGTCAGAGTACATACTTTGTACAAATTGAATCCTTTTAAATTTATTAAGACTTGTTTTATGATCCAGAATATGGACTATCTTGGTAAAGATATTCCATGTGTACTTCAAAAGAAAGTATATTCAGCTGTTGTTGGGTGGAGTATTCTATAAATGTCAATTAAGTCAAGATGATTGATAGTATTATTCAGATCTTCTCTATCCTTACTGATTTCTGTTTGTTTTATTAATTATTAAGAGAGGGTTATTGAAATCTTTGAATATGATTGTGGCTTTGACTACTTTTCCTTTCAGTTCCATCAGTTTTTGCTTTATGTATTTTGAAGCTCTGTTATTAGGTACATAAATGTTTAGGATTATTTTACCCTATTGATAAGTTGACTTCTTTGTCATCATGAAATGACTTTCTTTATTCCCATTAATATTCTTTGTTCTGTAGTCTACTTTGCCTGATACAAATATGCAACATTCTCTTAACTAATATTAATGTGGTATATCTTTTTCCAATGTTTTGCTTTTAATGTTTTGCTGTTTGTGTCTTTATATTTAAAGTACATTTCTTGTTGACAGCATATAGTTGGGTTTACCTCAACATAGGTAGTCTGCCAAGCTCTGCTTGGGTCTCCCCTCCCTATGCCGTGACCTAAAAACTCTTTAGGTAATAAGGTGGGGCAAACATTGGGCTCATTTTGTTTGTTTCCTATCTCTCAGCAACAGGGCTTGAAACTAGGGTGAGGTGAGTTCACCCCTATGGTGAAAAATTTAAGACAGTAATCACTATCAGATGCACAACTTAGAGAGTGAATGCCTTCTTAGATTTTATACCCTAGGTGGCTCACTCTTAGGAAGGCACTCATTCTCAGGGTTATGCAAATGTAGGGTTAGCACCTGAGAGTAAATGCTTCCTTTAATTTTGCACCTTAAGGGCCTCACTCAGCTCACCATGGTGCTGACCCTGCTTAAGGATCACTGTCCTTCATTGCCTAATGTCTAGTTTCTTGAAAACCATTTTTAAAAATATATTCTCTCTCAATTGTTGGTTATTTCAACTAGGAGAGTCAATTCAGTCCTTGTTACTCCATCTTTTATGGAAATGGAAGTCTGGACATACTTGTTATGAGATAAAAAATCATACATATAGAGCTACTTGAGTGAAATGCAAATGTTTGCAGGCCTCCCTGTGAAGAATCCAGCAAAAAATTGGTCTTCCTTCACTCAACAATCAGTGAGCACCTACTATGTACCATGTTCTAGGCTAGAAACTGGGGTTAAAATAGAATAAGACTGCAAATGGTACCCGTCTACCAGTTGCTCATAGCTGGCTTTAGAACTATTAGATTGGCCCTTTCATACCATGCATCACCTGTGACCAGGTGGGCAGAAGTAAGGGGAAGGTGGTCTAGGGAAGGTGGAAAGCCAGCAAAAGTCAGATCAGAAATTGATCATCTCTACTAGTTCCAAGGCCCAGAGTGGCTCAAGGACTCACTTAAACTCACACAGCTAGTAGTAGTACTGATTGCTATGTAGTCTATTTAGGACTCTATCCAAAACACCTTCCCCCCATTGTCAGTCACCATTATTGAAATCCCACCATCAGAGACCCATTCACTAAGGGCAGGGGCCATGTCCTAGTTATGTTTATGTTTCTCAGTGTTAGTTCAGAGCCTGCTGCATGATAATCAGTAGATGGAAATGAATATATGAATGAATTAAAAATGTGCCTATTAAAATGATGAATATGCCTCTCAGAGGTGACTTAGATTATTACCAGCTGGGGATGAGTAACTTGAGAGCAAGCCCACATCTGGGAACCATGATAGAAAGGCAATGTGGTGTAGCAGAAGAGGTCTCTAACTGTGCTAGACCTTGATCCAAGTCACCTAACCTCTCCAAAATTCAGTTTCCTCTTCTGTATCCTGGGAATCCTAATCGTATGTACCTAACAGGAGAGTATCAGGTTCCAATGGGATGAAGTATGCTAGGAGCCTGGCAAGAGAACACTCTCAAGGAATGACCGGTATTATTAGTCTAGTCTCCTGGAAGCAGCAGGTGGGAGTGGGGTGAGGCCTACTAGGTGCACAGACTTTGCAGACAGAGTCCTGGCAAGGTCCAGGAAGACAGCAGGCTGCTCTCCTGATGTGGTGTATTTATAGGAGTTCACGTTACCACCGTCATTATGCACAAGCCCTTCCAGTCAGCACTGCATGTAGGTGAGGTGTCCTAGGCAGTGCACATAAAAGCCCTGCAGATACAGCCTTGCTCCTCAGGACTTGCCTCCAAGGCAGCTCCCTCTGGGGAAGACAGAATGAAAATGTTAAACCTGCACAGGATTAGTGATGGTCAGTTCACACCACACAGGGACGACGAGAAAGAGCACTTCCCAAGTGCGGACTGATCAGAGGAGTCAGCGTTCGAATGGCATGTCCAGCCTCATGGCATGAGGGGCGCAGTCTGCTCTGTTTCGTCAAGGCTCTGTTACAGGGAGTTCATTCCCGAGGACGGCAAGCCTCCCAGCTCTGGCCCACAGCGCTTCACTAATCTGGCAGGTGGAAGAGGTTGACTGAGATCAACAGATTTTAGATTGCTCTGGATGTGGTATAGCTGAGCCAGAGGCCCGGGGCCTGGTAATCGGGGAAACCTGCCTGGTGGAACAGTGACTCTTCCACCTTTCTTACTCACATAGATGCAGGAGACATGGTCCACGCTATCACGTTCTCAAGCTCCCCCCCAAATACATTACAGTGCGTATCTATATTTTTAAATTCAAGTGTTATCATGTATTTAAAATATAGACCTATTCTACTTCCAAAAAGTCTTCAGATGGAAAAATTCGAGGATATTATTATTTCTTTTTATCACATTAACCCAATTTTTCATTAATAACATTTTATGGTTGGGGATTTCACAGACTTACAGACTGTCAGAGCTAGAAGGGACCTTAAAGACAAATGGGCCAGTCTTCTCCTTGTACAGATGAAGAAACTGAGGCCCAGACAGGTACTGCCTTGTTCAAGGTCATGTAAGTAGCAGTGGAGTCTGGACTAGAAGCCAGGTTTCTGTATGCCTTCCTCCACATCATGTTGCAAGACACCCTCTGAAAACATGCTTCGATGGGCTTTAAGTAATCGAGATGTGTGATTTGTGATGTGGTTTTGGCTGCCTAAGGCTGTCACCAAGCCAGGCCTGGCAAGTCCTCTACAACATGAAGCTCCTCGAGGATGGGGTGCACTTTCTCCTACATGAACTGCAGTGCTCACAGCCCTGGCAGAGGTCTTCAGCACAGGATAAGAGCCCCCCAAGAACTTGTTGACTGTGTGTGATGTAGGAGAGAGTTTCTCTACCTGAGGGGAGCTCTCCATCCTTGGCAATGTTGAGGAGTCGGGCCACGGTGGGATTAAGATCAAGTACCAGTTATAAGAGCTTGGTTTTAAATCTCAGCTTTTGCACTAACTTGCTGTGTGATGTTGGGCAAGTCACTCAATGTCTTTGAGCCTCAGTTTGCTCATTGGTGAAATGGAGATGATCATCTCGGAGGGACATGAGAATTACATGAAAAAAATAGGGAGAGAGGACATGGCGTTGGTGCCTGCTTCTAAGTAAACGCTCAATAAATGGCAGCTATTCTATCAAGATCTATTTTCTTGTTGTTTGGTTGTTTAAATGGGAGAAATTGTTTTCCAGCTTCCCCTGCTCAACCTCCCTTCAATCTGGAAATGTCTGTTTTCTTTCCACACTCCTGTCTTCTCCCCTTGATGGGCTGGCTGATGTGTCAGCGATAGTGGTCACAGGTCTCCCCTCGTCCCGAGCTCCTGCTGACTAAGAGGTGGGTGCCGAGAGACGTCGGGACACTGTGGCGCGTGGCTCTGCGCTCTCATCCCCTCTCGCTCTTCGTCAGCCTCGCTCCCTCCCCACCACGCTCACGTCTCTCTCCCATCTTCCATGTTCAGGTTCTGAGAAGACTTGAGGAAGCCGACAAATCCCGATGGCTACCCCTGATGGGAGGGTGGTCTCCACACCCCAGACCCAGAGACCTGGCCTGGGGCCACAGGGGAGCACAGCCTGCCCGGATCCCCTGGACAGCCTGGAGCAGAAGGAAACCCAGGAGCAGGCGCCAGGCCAGCTGGCCATGCTGAGGAAGGCAGAGGAATTCTTCCAGACCTGTGATGCAGAGGGCAAGGGCTTCATCGCCAGGAGGGATATGCAGGTAAGAGGGGTCCCAGGAAGACCTGCCCACCTGGAAGGCCAAGTGGCATGGGTCTCTTTGTCTTGGGTAAGGGCTTGCCCCACCGAAGGTGACATTCTTAACAGACAAGATGTTGTCAGTTGTGCCCTGGAAGTAAGCATCTGACCAAACTCTCCTGGGTTCATTCTATTTCTGGCCCTTACTTGCTGTCAGACTTGGGGGTTGTTTCCCATCTCTGACTCAGTAATCCCCCAGGATTACAGGAAATGGTGATAGTAACATAAGGGACTTAGGGAAGACACAGAAAAGAACCTTCTGAAACGAAAGGTAGAAAGACAACAACTTGAGTTATAACAAGGTCGTTCCTGCTGCATGTGCCTTAGAAATGGCTCCAGTATCAGGTGCACCTCCTGGGAGGAAGACACTTCTGGAGGTCACCTTACCTCTCACCCTCAAACCCAACCACCCTTAACCCCCAGAAGCATGTCCAGGGAGAGGGGCAGTGTGCAGAGCCATTGCCTGCTGCAGGGCTCAGCGACGCCTCCGTAAAGGTCCAGAGAATGAGCATTTCAGGCTTTGTGGGCCACAGTCTCTGTTACAACTATCGAACCGCACAACTCTGCCATTGTAGCACAAAAGCAGCCACAGGCAACGTGTAAACAAACAAGCCTGTTATGTTCCAATAAATATTTATGGACACTGAAATTTGAATTGTATATAATTTTTACATGTCGTCAAATATTATTCCTCTGTTGGTATTTTTTTCAACCATGTAAAAATATAAAAGCCGTTCTTAGCTCGCTGGCCTTACAAAACCAGGCGATGGCCAGGGCTAGCCCAGGCAGAGTTTGCCCAGCCCTGCTCCGCTGCCTTTCCACTGTTAATATCAAAGACTTCTCGGTGTCTTACCTAAATCTCTTACGCTGCAGTCAGGATCTCAGCCAGACGTGGGTAAAGAAAACACAGGCCCCACTAGAGGACTCCGAAAGCAATGCTTCCCCTCCAGCCTTTCCGTCACTTGCTGCGTCAGGGGTGCTTACCTGTGCTGTTGGGGGGAGACCAGCGATGGCCAGGTTCTTTCTTTAAGCCCAGTTTTTTAGAATACGCTAAAATTGGGTGATGAAGTGTAGACCCCCATTAGTATCAGTCTTGTCTCTGCTCGCGTATGTCAGCTGTGAGGCGTCACCCAGATGAAACAGGGCCGTTCTTTCTCTCCCTGGCCCCACGGGACGGTGTTTTCCTGCTTCTCCTAGAGCTAGTCCACCATCCAGCCGTCGTACAAACTGGGGAGAAAGAGCCGGGGAATAGCACCAGCTCAGCCACTAGTGAGTTCGGCCCATTTTTATTTGCAGCAGTTGACTCCCCCGTAAGTGTCAGTCCCTGAAACGCGTCCCCAAAGGCCCCTCCACGTGGAGGGCCAGATTCAGTGTGTTTTGAAGAAACCCCTGACAAACTCCTGCCTGCAAACTTCGTAATTGTCACTCACAAGTCTGTAGTCGTGGTGGTGGTCGGTAGTGGCTTTCACAGCACGCTTAGCTTTTGATTGTCCCCCCAATGAAGAAAGAAAAGGGAACTCACATTTATGGGGGGTCAGCTGCGGGCCCCACGTACCATCCGGCGCAGCCTCTCCCTGGCCGTGTCTCCCAGCCAACGCTCGGTGAAACTGCTCTTTAATGAAGGCAGGAAGGGCTGTGGTGAATTGAAACAGTCAAGGGTAAATTTAAAGAAATCCTTTGTATTTGACTTGGAATGTCATTAGACACATCAGGTCCCAGAGATTCCTCCTCAGCCTTCCTCCCCAGTCCTCAGTCCTGATGCAGGCGGGAGGACGAGGGGATGAACGAGTAACCAAGCAGAGACCTGTGCATCCGAGGCATTTATTTCTGCCATCTACTTAATTTTTCCGAACCTGTGGACAATGAAGCATTTGAAATTTCCAGTTCCTCAGGCCAAGCAAGTGCTGTCAAAAGAGAAGACAGCACGTCATCTAAGCCCCATCTCTCTGGCTGCTTTCCCTGGCTGTGTCTGGGGGAAGATGGGCTGAGAGGAGATGCGTGAATAAGAGAAGCAGCCCTCTCCTAGCCGCCTCTAGCTCTCTGTGGAAAGCCCTCGTGTCCCTTGGTTCTCCTGGGACAGGTCCTCCAGGAACCTACCCGTTGGCTTGTCGCTTGTGCACGCAGCTATTTTGTGGGTACCGTCACCCCCTTTGGTTGGTGTCCAGCTCCTTGGACCAGGCCACCCCTACCTTTTTTACCCTGGGCTCTCAGCACAGCCTCATGGGAACTGGCAAGGGAAGAGCTCACGTTTTTCATGTACACACAAGCTCAGCAACGAGGGACGTCCTTTACAGCGGAGGGTGGTCCCCAAGGAAGGAGAGGCCATGGGACAAAAAGGAGGGAGAACACGGGGGTGGAGGAGCCAGTGGAGAAGCAGGGCTGGAAGGAAGTCACCGAGAGCTTTGCAATCATTGAGAAGTAGGGAGACTGCCACCATGGTCTGAGCCCACCAGGAAGTAGCCAGCCCACCCAGATAGAACAAGGACCACAGAAAGAAGGGACAGCATCCTGGAAGCTGTTTTTAATTGAGGTCCCTGAGAACCCTGGAGAAAGCCTGGAGGAATCCAAAGTGGGCTGCGCTGAGCCAGCTCTGTGCTCGGGCTGCACGCGCAGACGTTTGCTCCAGGGAGGCAGATGGTGAACACTGGCCCGTGTGAACAGGATTTAGACAGGGTAAGTTTAGGGAGTCCTCAGCCTCACCAGCAGCCCCTCAGGTCTCACACCGTCCTCCACGAGGAACCTCTCTGCGTTTCGTGGGACCCTCCAGCAGAATTGGAGTTGGTGTTGCTTTGCAAGGTTGGGTCTGGTGCAGTACCCTAGTGCTTCCCATGGGGCTGGTCAGTCCTGCCTCAGAGGGAAAGAGGGACATGAGAGGACCAGGCTGGAGAGGGCACAAAGGGACTCTATTAGCTAGGAGAGGGAGGTAGGGAGAGGATGGGCAGGAGATGGCTCTGAAGAAACCTAGAGCCTCAAAAACCCCGTTTCCTTGATGTTTTGGAAGAGTAAAATGACTGTCTACCAACACCAACTGCCTACCTCCCCAACACTGCCCTGAATTCCTGGCTTAACCAAACTGTTAAAAATCATTTATGGCTTGGCAAACCAACCGAATCTGGCCCACAACCTGCTTCATAAGTAAAGTTTTATTACAACAGAGCTGTGCTCGTTCCTTTACGCATTGCGCATGGCAGCGGCAGAGCTGGGTAGTCATGACAGAGACTGAATGGCCACCAAGCCTAAAACATGTACTTTCTGGCCCTTTGCAGAAAAAGATGACTCCTGATTTAGGTTAACAAGAAAACTTTAAAAGACTTTTGTAGTAAATTGACTTGCGTTTTAATCCTGAATCTGCAACTTACTAGTAATGTGAATTTGCATAAGTCTCTGAACCCCTCTAGACCATAGTTTCTCAGCTATGAATTATGAATAGCTACCTCCCGGCATCAGAAGAGAATTACACGAGCTTAAGCATGCAGAGCACTTGGCTCCAAGACGGACCTGGAAATCCCTCCATAAATGCAGTGTCTGTGCTGCGTCTTAGCCCATCCCTGTATCTTCCGCACTGGGATTTTGTTTAATTGTGTAAAACACACGTAACACAAAATTTGCCATCAGAACTCGTTTCAAGTGTACAGTTCAGTGGCATTAAGCACATTCACTATGTTGTACAACCATCATTATCCGTCTCCAGAACTCTTTTCACCTTGCAAAACAGAAACTCTGCGCCTGCTAAACAGCTCCCCACACCCCCTGGCAGCCACCATTCTGCTCTCTGTCTCTATGAACGTGACTACTCTGGGTACCTCGTATCAGTGGATTCAGACAATACTTGTCCTGTCGTGACTGGCTTACTTCACTTAGCGTGTCCTCATGTTTCATCCATGTTGTAGCATGCGTCACAACTTTTCTTTTTTAAGGCTGAATAATGTTTCATTGTACGTTTAGACCACATTTTGTTCACTTATTCATCTGTCGATAGACACTGGAGTGGCCCTTGGCTGCTTACGAATAATGCTGCTGTGGCCTTGGGTGTACAAATGTCTGTTCAAGTCCCTGCTTTCAGTTCTTTTGAGTATATGATACACCCAGAAGTGAAATTACTGGATCATATAGTAATTCTATTTTTAAAATTTTTTGAAGACACACCATACTGTTTTCCACAGTGGCTGCACCATCACACTGTGATTTTAAGTGTGAGTCATCTGTCCCGCCTCACGCATAAAGGGCATTTCTGCTGAAAAGGGCACCTTCCATAGGTATCCAGCTGCTGCTATTCTTGTTTGTGTCCAGCCTACATGAGTGGCAGCAATTTTGCCTCCTAGAGGACATTTGGCAATGTCTGGAGACATCTTTGATTGAAATGACTAGAGAGGGAGGTGCTACTGGCATCTACTAGGTAAAGGCTAGGGGTGCTACTAAATATCCTACAATACACAGGACAGTCCCTCCCCTGCCTTCCCCCCAAGCAAAGAATTATCCATTTCAAAATGTCAGTGGTGGTCTATACCAAGCAATCAGCCCAAGACAAGCACATCAATGCACAAAGCAAGATAAAGGTAGATCCAGCCCTCCAGACGCTACACACATCCTGAAAATGTTTGGCATAGCTGAGCTAAACCACAGGGAAGAGAGTGGCTGGTGCTGGAAGAGGGGTCTGAACAGAACGCTGCAGATGCTTTAAAAGGAGCAAGAATTCAATTCTGGCCGTGAAGATGGATCTCCTCTGGTTATCTCTTCAATGAAAGTTTCACTTGAGCGTGTTTGAAGCTGTGCAACCATATGCTTTAAGCCACCTGGGACATGTTACTGGGCTGCTGACCAGCAAAGTAAAAAAGTCTGGCTGGAGTACAACAAAAGACATTATTTTTCCATGGCTCCGGGGCCTGAGTCCTCAGCACTGCTGCTGCGGGATGTCAACTCTTCCAGGTCCCAGAGCATCCCCAGTCTAGGAGACCTTGCCAAGAGTTACCAGTTGGGCTGGTCAGGATCCTGAACCTGGAGTGTGTGAGGTCTATGGGAGTTCAGGATCTCCTGCCATCACTCTTAGTCACGCTTGTATTTATGCTGCAGTCAACACTATCTGAATACTCCCTGTTTGTCAGCATTGGGCTAGGGCCGGGGACACAGTAGTGAGTAATGAATGGCATCGCTGTCATCAGAGCGCTGTAGGAGCAGACATTCATTAGCTGATGCACCTATCAGTATTTAACATGCAAACTGAGCTAAGACTTACGAATGAGAGAAATGTAGTTTTGGGAGCCTGTACAACCTGACCTAACCTGGGGGGTCGCAGAGGCCTTACCGAGGAAGCGCTGCAGGAGCTGAGAGTGAAGAAGGAATTCAGAGTTGAGGACGGAGCAGGCCGGTGTGTGAAGGAGCTGTGGAGTTTGGAACAGCTCCTCGGGCCACAGCAGTAGGACTAGGACGAGCTGACGTCCTCCCGGCATCTCCTCTTTCCCTGCCTACTCTTCCAGGCATGTGGAAATGCTGTGAGTGAAAAAGGATCTCTGGAAGGCTGGCTCTTGGCGGTGCGGGGAAGGGACTTTGAACTTCGTTCTGTTGGTGGTGGTGCTTGTGGGCGGGTGGGTGGAGACATAACGAAGGATAGGGATTACGGAATGGACGCACTGGGAGCCGTTAGAATACCGCTCCAGCCCCGGGTGGGTTCTTTTCCCAGCCCTGGCCTCTACTGGGACTCCAGGCTCCTCTCAGAGCCTCATAGGCCTATTACACAGTGGAATAAATAATCCCATTGCCCCCCACCCTGCTTGTATGGCTTAGTTAAAAACGTAGACAGCACCAGGTGCCCGGGGGGTCATGCCAGAATAAGTTGGTTTTACATGGCTCTGCAGGCCCCAAGAAGAGAAATAAATGAAAGATAATTATGGTTATCAAGACTAAAAGACTTTTCAAGTAGGGCCAACAAAAGAAGGTTACAGAGTCTTGTGCAGTACAGCTTGCAGAGAAGGCCGAGGAGGCAGGCAGTGCTAATTTGCCAGGATAAGAAAAGTAAGAATTGCTTGGAACATATTAATATTGCTTTCCTCGTTTTTGCTGACAACAGAAAGAGGAAACTGGAATGAGAGGTGGCAAAGAAGGCGTGGGATTAGAGAAGAGGGGACATTCGTGGCTGGCAGTGTTGTCGAGTTCGGGCATGGTGCCTAAGGCGAGGGAGGAGATGACCCCTCCTGGCTCACGCTAACGAGAGAAGGGTGTGGGGGGTGGTTTGGGTGAAAGGCAAGCCGAGGGTCCCACTGACCTGTGGAATTTCCTTCCAGCTCATTTCTAGCACCTGTGAGATATCACACCTTAGATCAGGTCTAGCAATCCTAGGCGAGGGTGGGGAAGGAGAAAGGATCACCCCAAGGAAAGGACTGGAATCTGAGCACCAGAGGAGCTTGGGGTTTCACCCTACCTCCAGGGTGATGCCTTTTGTCTCAAATGGAGCTAATAAACTTCCTGCTTGCAAAACTGACTCCTTCCTCACCCCCGCTCTCTCCGTGGGGCCGTGAGACAGCTGGCTGACACACAGCCCCTAAAACACAGAGGCTCCGAAAAACGCAGAACAGACACACCCACAGCCTCCGCACACACTGTCACTCTCCTTCCTCTTTTGGAAAGCCCGTTCATATTTAATCCGGCTCTTCCAAATGGCTTCCGTGTCATCCTGTCTCCTCACTTTGTAATGCATCATAGTCTCCCTTAATGCGCGTACCCGCCAAATTAAACTTCATGGCGTATCAGCTAGAAGATCGCCTTCGGATCAAGCCAACTGCTCGTGCCAGTTACGTTACGGGCTTCCACGCCTGCCAACTCCTTTTTATTGTTCAGATGGGCACGTACCTTCCTTCTACAGCGCCCCGTGTTCACCGTCTTCGGCTGTCAGTCACTCCCACACAGGCAACTTTGGGCAGATACCTCTTGGGTACCTGGGAGGAAGGGAGTTGGTCGACTGAGATATAGTGAACTCCCTCGGGGAGTCCTCATTTGGAGACGTAGGTTATTACGGTATAAGAGGACACTTGCTTCAACTATTCAAATTAGCCATGGCCTGGGGCCATTGCACGTGGTGCAAAAGGCTAGAGGGAGACATCCACTGCTCAGCCACTCTGCTCCTCATGTCGTCACTGGTCTCTGCCCTTCCCTCCTTGGGAGGTCCCAGTCTTGGGACTCAAGTTCCCGGGACTCAAGTTCAGTGTTTATTTATGACCTGCTCACACCACCCTGTCCAGTTCTTTAAAGCATAAATACTCCTGGGGACCCAATACCTTAAGCCGCTGGCAGTTGACGTCTTATCAGGAATCAGTTGCCACCAGCAGGGAACAGGAGTGGGGCACGGACTGGGGACCTGGGTGTGGGTCACTGGGGGGCTGAGCCAGCATCCCCATAGAGCTCAAGGACCAAAGCATGTGTCCTCAGAAACTTACAGAGGCAGTGCTGGGGCACCGGGGCGTGAGGGGCCTCCAGGCGGGAAGGGCTCTGGGAGTCAGTGACCCACCCCTGTACCCCGGCAGGGGGCAGCACGGCAGAGGAGCGGGGCCTGTGGAGGGCCGGGAAGACTGGGTGCGGAGCCTGGCTCTGCCGTTCCTCCCTGAGTGGCCTCGGTGAGTCGGAGGGCCTCTCCCTCTCCCCCTCCCTCTCCCCCACTCCTTTCTACTGCGTGGCCTCCACGCCAGGCCTGTGTCACGCGCTTTATATTCATCATCTCATTTCCCTTTACGACTCCACACGGTGGGTGTCATCCTGCAAGTACTTGGTCCTGTCAAGTTTGGTCCTTCGCAGATGTGAGCATGCTGGCTTTGGAGTCAGACCTGGATTTGACTCCTGGCTGTGTCATCATTAGCCACGTGACTTTGGGCAGGTAACTTAACCTCAAACTCCATCCGTATAATTGGGATAATAATGCCTACCTCAAAGCGTTGTCATAAAAATGAAATGTAAATTGTAGATAGATATTTATATATTTATTTGTTTATAAATGACCTAGCAAATTGCCTGGCACATTAGTGGGCTCCCAATCAGTGGTAGCTGCTGTAGTATGCAGAGAAGGATGGAGGAGGCTGGAGCAGGAGCTTGCTCCTGGACTTTGTAGGACTGGGCCGAACTCTAGAAGTTTTTGGCAGAACGCTCTGCAGTCCCAGGTCAGCCCCGCGAGCGTCAGGTGTTAACTGGTGCGGTCTGGGTTGTTTCAGAGGCTTCACAAGGAGCTGCCGCTCAGCCTGGAAGAACTGGAGGACGTGTTTGATGCCCTGGATGCTGATGGCAATGGCTTTCTGACCCCAGAGGAGTTCACTACTGGATTTAGTAAGTTCTGATGGATGCTGGGCACCCAAGGCTGGGATCTACCTAAAGCTGTATAATATGCCTTCCTGTCCCCTCTGGATCTGGGGGACCACGTAGTACAGGCTTTCCTTCCTCCTTTCAGGGATCCAGAGCTTGAGGTCTCCAGGCTCTGGATTACTTGGGCCAATTCACATGCCCTCCCTGACTGCCCATGCCATGGCTCTTGCAGTGCCCCGGCACTGTCACTGCCAGGTCCCCTCCCACCACGACCGGCACTGGGAATCGATGGGAGCTCTGGCAGGGGCTTGGCAAAAAAGGGGAGCTGTGGTGAGATTCCGAGCCCTCCTTTTCTGCCTTGATAGACAAAATAAGCGGACAGAAGGTGGGATGACTGGGCGGCTCACTCCGACCTGAGTCTGCAAGATACCAGACATCAGAGGAACTTCTAGAAGGTTCAATAGATCAGTCATTCTCAAGGTAACCAGGAGAAAGGAGAGCTGAGATCCTGGAACAAGATGAAGAAACAAGACACACTGTCAGATCAAATAAATCAACAGGCAAATTTGAGCATACATCTGCCCCATGAGAAGGGCCGTATAATTTTGTAAGAAGTATCTGATGCCTTCTCTGACCTCAGGAGCCTATGACTGACTGGGAGGGTAAGACAGATGGCTGCGTTGCTAGGCAGTATGAGTGCGGGGAAAGTACGCTGGAGACTGAAGGAACCTGTACACGTGAAGTCAGTGAGGCTGGCGGGGGTGACGAGGACGGCAGCGCGGAGCCCTGGCGCTAGGCCGCTGGGGTGTGATGGAGGAAACCAGCAGAGAGGTGAGATCTCAGCCAGACTTCGAAGGATTGAGGACCACAAAGGAGCCACTGCACCTGTCGTGCCTTCTGCCTTTTCCAGGTTCTCTCTGGCAGGTCGCTTGTGGAAGTGGAAAAGACATAAAACCCAGGCCGCGGTGTCCACTGGCCTTTGCTAGAGGGGTTTCCCTTGTTCTTCTTTCAGAGGAAGCTCACACGCCCCCAGGCAACCGAGAAGCTGAGCGCTTCCTGGGTGAGCATTGTCTAATCCAGATCCCGTGTCCCGCTCCCGCCAGGTCACTTCTTCTTCAGCCAGAATAACCCAGGTCAGGAAGCTGCAGGCGAACAGGTGACCCGGCGCCAGGGAGAGCTGGTGTACCAGTCCAGAGGGGAGGAGAGCCTGGGAGACACAGACGAAGACGAGGAAGCCCAGTTCCAGATGCTCATGGACAGACTGGGAGCCCAGAAGGTTCTGGAAGAGTAAGTGGTGGCAGGGGATTTGGGGGATAGAGCCCAGCCTAGGAGCTGGCATCTGCTCAACATGCAGCGCCAGTCCCGTGCTTGGCGCGGCAGCCAGGAGCTTGGCTTTGCACAGCCTGCCCTCCGCGATGGCCCGTCTCCATGTTGGGCTCTGTCTCTGCCTTTCACATCTTTTCCTTTGCAACACGTTCCTATTCTCCTCTCCCACTCCCTCTACTCTCCTCACTTTCTGCTGAACGTCACCCTCGTAGTCCTCGGCTCAGCTTTGCTCACCAGAGGGTGTCCACCCATCGCGGTCTGCACCACGCCCTCAGGGTTTTCAGGGAGTTCTCCCCAGGACGCCCTGCCGCCATCAGCCCACCAGCATCTTCACCCCCGGGCAGCCGGGTCCCCTCATGGAGAAGCACTTGCACATTGCACGCCTAAGCACACCAAACCTGTCAGGAAGGCAGGGTGGGAAAGTAACCAGGTTTTTCCAGCCCACCACTTGGACAATTAGTGGCTCAGCTAAATTTCAGATGGCTGGAACTTCACAAAAGACATAATACCACAATTTTTTCTTTCCAAAAAGTGCTTGGAATAAAGAAACATGGATCTAAGCCCTGACATTTAAAGTAAGCTAAAGCAAAATAAAACAAAACAAAATAATATAGTGATAGTATAGCTAGTGGAAACCAACAGTGGGCCTGAAAAACACGTAACGCCTTCTGCCCTTTTCCCATTGCCTGTGGCCTTTTCAGTTTGGGGTCTGTAGGCCTGGGTCTGGGTGTGTGTTTCTCGCAAGGTGGGAATGCCCTCGTGATCGCAGCTGGTGCTCGCGGGGCCAGGGAAGAGAAGGGACTATGGCGGAACATGATATGCAGGCGAAAGCTCCAGGAATGTTTTAGCAAACAATTTGGCAGACTGTGGCAGAGCGGAGAAAGGCTGGCAAAGTGTATGCCAGGCAAGAAGAGGATAGGCAAAGGCCTGGGAGAGGGCCTAGAGGGCAGCTCTGCACGGGAAGTGGAACCTGAGGCCAGCATCAGTGGAAGGCATCCATGCAGGCCTGAGTCAGCACGGAGGTGGCAGGGAGGGGCACAGGTGGATGGGAAGCTCAATACCAGACACCTGACTCAGCTTTTCCAAGGACAAAAGCCCCAGAGCACAGTGACCTTTGCAGCAACCGCGTGCAGCCTCCTCCTGGTGGAGGGGAGGACAGGGCACTGTAATGAAAGAAGGGGGCGTCTCCACCCACCCCCGCTGCCGGGCAGCCGCCTTCCTGGCAGGGCCCTCAAATCAGAGCTCGCCAGAGGTTACTCTGAGAACCCATGGCAAAGGCCTGCGCAAAACTGAGCCAAACGTTTCTCCAAAATGAGCCTGGAGAAAAGAAGACTTTGGGGAAGTTTCCAGAGTGGTCTGTAAAAATCGATACACAGAAGATGGTGTGACCAGCAATTTCCATCCTCACTGAAGTGGGCTTAAGTTGCAGCATGAGGGAGACATTCCTGACAGTGGGGCCCTGCATAAGGAAACAGGAGGCTGTGGAGACTTTAGAGGTCTTTAAAGATTGTGCTCATCGAAACGGTTTGCGTGTTTGTTGTTCTAGAAGCAGAGAGATGGATAGACTGACCTCCCAGAATCTCTTCTAGCTCACACTCCCATATCCTTCCATGAAGGGTGGCCTCAGTGTGGTCCAGAAGTGGTAGACTGGGCATCTGGGCTCCCTGCTTCTCTTGGGGGTCTGATTGATTAAGTGACTTGGCAGCTTAGTGGGCTTTGGCTTATTTTTCATGAGGGACAAGGGAAAAGTTGAAAGATTTGTCCCTTCTCCAGAAAACTGGGGTGAAGTGATGTGGCAAGACTGAGTAGTTCAAGAGCCCTGCAGGAAGACCAGGCAGGTCTGCAGGTCTCAATGGGGGCTTTAGCCCACTCAGCTCCACTGCCCGGCTCCCACAGGCAGCTGGCAAATGTGGACAGACAGACCTAGGCTAGCAAGGTGGACCTAGATTTTATAATGCATTTACTTAGTAAGGGAGTGTGTTCACCCATTTGGGTTGCCATAACAAACTACCATAGACTGGGTTCCTTATAAATAACAGAAATTTGTTAAACTCAGTTCTTGAGGCTAGGAAGTCCAAGATCGAGGCACCAGCACATTTGGTGTCTGGTGAGGTCACTTTTCCTGGTTCATAGACAGTCATCTCTCTATGTCCTCATGACAGAAAGGGTGAATGTGCTTCCTCGGGCCTCTTTTTATAAGGGCATTAATACCATTCACGAGCACTCTGCCTTCCTGATCTAATCGCCTCTCAAAGGCCCCACCTCCTGATACCATCACCTGGGGGTTAGGGTCTCAATACATGAATTTGGGCGGAGGGGGCGGAAACAAACATTCAGACCACAGCAGGGAACCACCTTAGCAGTGATGGGAAGTCATCATGGCACTTCCGGAACGCTTTGTGGTCTACATTTTACCTGCAAGGTGAAGGACACTCAAACCATGTTTTGTAGGGGGAAAGGAATTCATTCTGGGAAACAGAGGCTCCTCACCTCCCCTTTTCTTGTTTCCCTCATCCCCTCACGTCATTCAGGCCAGTGCTGGGTTTCTAAGAGATCACAATAAATACTTGTTGAGGGGATTGGGAACGGTGGATAGATGGATGGATGGATGGTCCAGATGAGTAGGTGGATGTTTGGACAGGATGGAAGAAAGAAAGGGTGGAAGAGATGGAGCAAGAAAAGGAAGGAGGGAAGGAGGGAGGAAGAAAGGGCAGGCTGGAGAGATGACCAGGTACCCTAATCAGAGGTAGGTCCACTTCCCAGTGGGCCTCTTCTCCGCTGGGTGCAGAGAGTAATGTGCATGCCCCAAGAGCATTGCCAGCATGGCACTATCAAATATCACTTCTGAGGAAAGTTTCTCAAATATAGTGCTTGTTACATAAGCACAAAGAGTTTTATTCTTTATCTTGACAGTTCCTGGTCATAGCTACCCTCAGATCATCTGGGTTTAGAATTTAATGGAGGACAAATCAGATTTATGGTTTTTTAAGGTGATTTATTAAGGAGGTGCTCCCAGGAGAAACTGGTAAGGGATTTGGGGAAGCAGGACAGGGAAAGGAAGTAAAGCAGATAAGGTTGCAGTTTCAGGAAAGTCCTGGTTCTCCAGTGGATATTATCCATACAGCCATAATAGTATCAACATTTATTTATTGTCGTATTTTGAAATCAGTATGCAGAGTTTTTGAAACTTAGCACTAATTACAGAGCACACCCCTAAATGTATTGAAATAAA